GTTACACCAGCAGTCGATCTTCTTATAACATCTTCCGCGAAGAAGACGTCACCAAAGCAGCCACCACCTTCACTGGTAGGATCATACCGCATCGAAGATCAACGTCACTCGCCAATGCATCTAACGTTCCCCTTCGATCGAGTCCCCACCATCGTTTCGCAGGCCAAGAACAAGATGGTAGACAGCGTGATAACCCTTTATGTCCATCGGGCTATACAGCTGGCTCAAGAAAAGGGAAAGAACCTGATAAACATAGAGGTCGATATAAGTCGTGATACAAATATTTAGAGCGCGCAAGCTCAGGTTTTTGTGACAGGGAGTCTGGTTGTAGTTTGATAATCTGAGTACCTTTTATTTGTTTCTGTGAGTTTTTGTGAGTAAACGCTTGTAGTTTCTCTTTGCTACGGGAGGTTGGCACGCCCCCCCACCCCCCGCTCCCCCATCGCCGCCTCCCCGACAACCTAAGGAATTACGTCGTAATGGGGATGTCTTTTATGAAAATAATTGAGCTTTCAAGGACACAGTTAAGGTACTTGCAAATTTCAAGCATCAACAACCAATCTATACAGAAAAAAGTTTCCTGCATCTCCTATACACCTGCTTACTCAATTTACACTTCGTATCTGCTATACAATTATGAACGACCTACAATTACACACTTCTTGCACTACTAAGTATATACGCTTCACAAAAAAAAAACAAAATTAGCATTGTGAACGTCAGTAAAAAATTGTACCGAGTGAAATAAACAATGTCCCTGTGAAAATTCAACTTTAAAAAGGCAATGGCTATGATAAGAAGCATGAGCAAAAAACCGCAAATGATAAACTAAAACAACTACATATTGTCGTGCAAGCTATAATCTTATAAATAGAATAGTGTTTTTAGAACAATAATTAATATATAAAATAAAAAAAACTAATGAGGTCCGTCTTAATTTAAAAACCCCCGTTCTATATATATTTAGAGGACAGTGAAAACCACATTTTACAGGGGAATTTATGCACAGAAAATCAAAGGTGAAAAAGAAAAATTCTACGATGTATGGCACAATGTATTTATCGGTGTGACATCAACTGTGAGATTACTGGAAGCCATGTAAAATATAGCTCGTGAGAACTCTAGACACACAACTAGGAGTCAGTGACAAAGAAAAAAAAAAGGATAAGTGGGCTAAATTGTCGATTTAAGAAAATGCCGCAGGAAGTTGGCATGAAATAGCATTGGATAACTTCAAAGAGAGTGCACACAAACAAATTTGTTTTGTATTCTTATTGTAATTTGCAGGATAATGTTTAATTTGCATCTTATAAAGCATGGAACTTAGTAGTTCTAAAGGAACTACACCTGCCGAGGGAGCACATACACTTTCATTGCAAACATGTGTCATGTTTACTCGTATTAGGCGTGACGCTTCTAGTTGTGTTATTTTCATTGCAAACAAGCGTCTATACAGGAAGATTTTATTCATGTTGATAATAGTGTATTGTAGTGGGTTTTAGTCCCACATTGCTTGGGAGAACAAACCTCACACTCCTCTACTTGTATAAATATATGTGCACACTCAATATTCAATTCAAGGGAAATTTACCCAAGATTCTCTCTCTCTCTCTTACTTTAACATGGTATCAGAGCTTAGATCGAGCCTGTGGAGAGGGAGCCTGTGGAGAAGTATAATTCATAACAGGAGCAGTGACAGGTACAGACAAAACAGTCTCGAGTGAAGAGGTAGGAGTGTCTGTTGACAAATTGAGTCGTGCTGTCTGCTGCCGGGTCTCATAAGCAGTGAGAGCTCCCATAACTGAGGCCAAAGTCGGAAATTGAGGCTGGTGAAGTAGTTGATCAGCCATAGTTGAATATTCAGGAAGGGACTGAAACAATTGATGCACCTCATGCCGTTCGTACCAGGCTAGCCAGTCTTCATATGTGGAATTACGTCCAGGAAGCATGGAGCGTAACTCTGTCCAAAAAGCTTGCATTTGTCCAAAATGGGACTGCAGAGATGAACTACCTTTGCGTTGTAGAGAAATGCGTTGCAGAAGATATGCCTCCCGTGCACCCGAGCACTCAGTGAAACGCTCAGTGAGACGAGTCCACATGGCCTGAGCAGAGGGAAGCGAGCCAATCTCGACAGTGAGACCAGAGCCAACACAGCGAGTGAGATAATCCATAACACGAAATTCCTGCAATTGCCACTCTGAACTCTCCTTGACATAGAGAGCACGAGCAGTCTGAAGATCGACATCACCACTGCCAGAGGCAATAGTACTGGATGAAGCAACAGTGCTGATGGACGGTGGAACTGGTCCCGTACTGGTGAGATGATCAAGCAAACCAGCGCCACGCAAGGCATTGGTGACAATGGTGGACCACCCTGCCCAGTCACTTTGATCATTGAGGGGCAAAGGTGGTTTGGGAATCTTCTCTGAAGGAGCCATAACAGCAATCTTGAGACGTTAAGATGTCGAGATGCTGTTACTAATGTCGTTCGTTTGAGGCCGAGAGACGGCTTGAAACGACGATGCCGTTAATTTGAGACCGAGAGACGGTCTTGAAACGACAATGCCGTTAAAATAGAACCCGAAGGTTAGAATGAAACCCGAAGGTTTAAAATAGAACCCGAAGGTTAGAATGAAACCCGAAGGTTTAAAATAGAACCCGAAGGTTAGAATGAAACCCGAAGGTTTAAAATAGAACCCGAAGGTTAAACGAGAACGCGAAACGCGTTAAGAGGCCGCAAAACGACAAGGCCAAAATATCTGGCAGATGAACGCCAAATAATTAAAAATAAAAATAAAAAAAATAAAACATTAAACGGCTGCAAAGCAATAAGGCCAAGATTTGGCAAAAGAACGCAAAAGCGTTAAAAATTTTATTGAAAGGGAAATAGCCCTAGCTCTGATACCATGTTAAAGTAAGAGAGAGAGAGAGAATCTTGGGTAAATTTCCCTTGAATTGAATATTGAGTGTGCACATATATTTATACAAGTAGAGGAGTGTGAGGTTTGTTCTCCCAAGCAATGTGGGACTAAAACCCACTACAATACACTATTATCAACAGCAAAGATAGAGGGCCCATCACTTAGAGCAGCTAATATAAATTTGAAGGTTTATTTCTCAAAGTATTGACAGTGTACTACATTCATTTGCTACAAAGTATAAACAATATCCTAACGAATCAGTTTTCAAAGCTGGGTTGTTGGACACGCAGTTTAGTAACAAATTAAGGTAGCACATCCTGATTTACGAACAAAACTATTCATAACAATTTAGAGACTCGTAGGCCATTGAAGTCTGGATCACTTGTACAAGTGTTGGTATAGGTTAAGAAAAGTTCTAGGTTTAACTAAAAACTTAAAAGATGACGTCTTTGCCTTCTCATTAAGACTTTGTTGGACTGCGAACTAGTTCCGGTAGAAATGATAAAATGAGTAATGTTCCTTTTCCAATAAGAAGGGCTATTGAAGGAATATAAGTGCTATCAAGACACAACACACACAAGCTGATTTTTCTTATGCATGCTAGGGGCCATTGAAAATCGTCAAATTGTGCACTCCACACTGTCCGCTTATTTGTTCTTGTATGGATCAACACACATGAAATCAGACTTTTCTGATGCATACAATCAGACATGAAAATCTCCAAGTTGTCCTCTTATTTGTCATTACTAGTATTTAGACCCGTGCAAAGCACGATTTCCAAAAGATTTTCTACAAATATTGAACATCTTACGAAAATAAAGTATTCTGCTTTAGATATGAAGTATAGTGATGGAAGTGAACCGAATAATTAATAAACTGTTCGGTTATTATTCGTCCAAATATTCGCAGAAGTTTATTTCGATAGTTCATTTGTGGCTAGAGGTTTTACTCAGCAACAAGGTATTGATTATGAGGAGACCTTTGCTCCTGTTGCTCAGATGCCCACTGTGCGTACTCTCCTTGCGGTCGCTGCTGCTCATCGTTGGCCCTTATACCAGATGGATGTCAAAAATGCTTTTCTTCATGGCTCTTTATCAGAGACCGTATATATGCAACCGCCTCCAGGGTCAAATATTCCTCCGGGACATGTATGTCCCCTTCGTCGTGCTGTTTATGGTCTCAAACAGGCACCCCGCGCTTGGTTTGAGTGTTTTCGCGATGTTGTGCTCAAAGCGGGCTTTATAGAAAGTCATCAAGATGCTTCTCTGTTTGTTCGCACTACATCGCGTGGCAGGGTTTTATTACTCATCTATGTAGATGATATGATCATTACAGGTGATGATATGATAGGTATACAATACACTATTATCAACAATTCATATCTTCATTGCCCTTTCACTGACGAAACGTAACTCGTCTAATACAACAGCAAGCAGGAATTTTTCTGCTAAACATGATAAAAAGAATGCTTATTGAACTCACCTGAAAGGTAATTCAATTTCTCTGTCAAGTCTACCAGGGCGCAGAAGAGCAGGTTCTAGAGTATCTGTTCTCTTATTCGCCATGAGAACTTTGACATTCGCCGCTTCGTCAAACCTGTCCATCTGCAAACGGAACCGTTTTCCACACAATAATATTTGAATATTCAGAACATACATTTGTTAACAGGATAACAATTTAGATCGGTAAGAAATTTCTTCAGAAGGTACTTCAAGGTTATCAGTAGTTATTTAAGATGACATTTCTCGATTAAGATGGTTACAATTTTCCCAAATAAACAGGCTGATCTATCAGATGCTCCAAAGGAATATAAATAATCGCATTTTTTTTAAAGGGAAGGGGAAAAAACGCAGGGGCAAAAAAAAAAAAAAAAAAAAAAGAATTCACCTGGAACTCAATAACTGTGCGTGGAAAAAACAAAATAATAATGTTCCATACTGCTCATCATGATTAATTCCACCCATAAACTAACCCCAAAAGTCCCTCCAATCGAACAGTTTAACTTCTAAACCATTGCAT